TATTTAGTAGTTTAGTAGTTTACTATTAAAAAGTTACAATCCACTATTATTGCAAATTATAATACAGTAACATAATATGTATTATATATTACATATTATACAAAAATTATTTACAACACAAAGAATTTATAATTTATGTTGTTCAAACGAATATTATTCTCGATACAGTGAACAGAACGCGGATGTAGTACCAGCGCCACAAGCTCAAACCTCGTCCTCTTCGCCAAGTTCGACGCCGGGAGATGCGACGGCCAGTAGCTCGCCACAAAGTCCGCAAGATAACATTCACCTTCCTCCACCTCCTCTTCCTGGTCATCCAGCAGGAGCCTATCATACGGTGAAGAGAAAGGGAACCGCCGGTTCCGAGGAGCTCGAGGGTAACCTGGCCACCCTCGGAGGTCGGCCGAGGTCGGTTGAAGGTTTTCCAGCTGAGCTTAGAGGTGCCAGAAGACGAAGATCCAGCGACGAAATTCTGGAAGATGAGGACTCCGTAAGTTGTTTCACATTTTCTCTATTTATACATCAATGATGAATCAAAGCTTGCGTTTAGTTCTTTTCCTACAGTTGTTGAATACTATGTTATTGTTCAAAATGTGTTGTTAATAGTAATTGTCTTTGACTTATCAAATTATTAAAAAATTAAATTAATTAAATTAAATATCTAGAAAGGAATGAAAGTTTAATTATCAATTTTGTTAAAAATTCCATTCTACAACTTGATAGAAGAAACTGTATTAAATTATTAGCGTTGTTGGAATCTGTATCTAATAATTTAATTAAAGTCAAATAAACACTAACAATCTACAGACATACAAATATTTACAAATATTTATACAGATAAAACATTATGTTTAAGACATTCATTATAGTTGATAATAATTTATAAACAAGCCAATTTTGATTACTTCATTTCCAAAGTAAAGTATTTGCTGAATTTGAACAATATTTAATTTGTTTATTTATATATTATACAGCGTAGAATATAAATGAATCAATGATGTTGAAAAAATTGTTCGAAATTGAATAAAATGGTGAAAAAGAAATCAAGCAAGTTTTAAGGGTCGTTGTAAAGACTGTCAGAGTTATGAATTTAATTACAGAAAAAGTTTTTTCAATATTTTTGGAGACGTTTGAATTTTTACAATTTTCAAGAATAAAAATCTTATAAAAACATCTTTGAAAGAAACGAATTCAGAGCTTTAAAATGAGATAGAGTACATCATTATACGATTTCTCTGTATTATAATTATTAATTATAATTATTCAAAGTATCATCAATTTTTCATCGCTTCCTACTGTATTTTTTTTTATTGTTTTGCACATTAATTAACAACATACGATATTAATCAACATGTAATCACCTATAATGCAACATGAAATTATAATTATTCAAAGTATCATCAATTTTTCATCACTTTCTACAATATTTTTTTCTATTATTTTGCACATTAATTAACAACATACGATCAACATATAATCACTTATAATGCAACATGTCATGTCACGTACATTGTTATTGTTTCATTTGCATTATTATTAATAACAATCCCACGTTACTTACGTTGCATTTGCATTATTGTTATTAACAATTTTACTTTACTTACATTGCAGAGTATCATCTGTATTATTATTAATAACAATCCCACTTTACTTACTTTGCAGAGTATCATTTGCATTATTATTAATAACATTCCTACGTTACTT